GTTGAAACACAATCTGGGGGTACATTTAAGGTGAATTTGCCTTTTTAATTTTGTTTTACTTAATCTGATGCTAATATTAGTGGACATTTATTGATATTACAGGCAATAATGTTTATAATTCAGGAAGTTTGGGTGTTATAGAGAAGAATGGCAAGGGAGAGCTAAAAAATACTGAAGCAAATCTCCTTTATAGTCAATAAACAATTATGTTTGTGCTAAGCTAGCAGAAAATGATTATTTTGCTGCAAGTATCTTTAAATAAATCAAGGAGCATCAGCAGCGCTAAATATTAGAGCACTGTGAACATTAAGAGTAGCAGTTAATTTCTTCTTTTAAGTGTTAGTTGACTTTACATTGACGTGCTAAAGGATTATATAGAATTACTCATCCAGGTATACTTAAGGGCGGTTTTTGTTGTATATTTTTATTAGGTTTCAACACTGAAGTTCTCAATCGAGCATGGGAATTAGATACAATTTATGCCTTGGAGACTTAGAATGCCATAGTTGAGTAATTCCACAGTGGTATGATTATGATCAGCTTAACATCTGGAATGATTAGTTTTAAATGCTTCAGTTCAGTTCAGTTTGGTCGCTCAGTCATGTCTGACTCTTTACAACCCTATGGACTGCAGCATGCCAGGCTTCCCTGTCCATCACCAACTCCTGGAGTTTACCCAAACTCATATCCATTGAGTCAGTGATGCCATCCAACCATCTCATCCTCTGTCATCCCCTTCTCCTCCCACCTTCAATCTTTGCCAGCATCAGGGTCTTTTCCAGTGAGTCAGTTCTTCGCATCAGGTGGCCAAAGTATTGGAGTTTCAGCTTCAACATCAGTCCTTCCAATGAATATTCAGGACTGATCTCCTTTAGGATGGACTGGTTGGATCTCCTTGCAGTCCAAGGGACTCTCAAGAGTCTCCTCCAACACCACAGTTCGAAAGCATCAATTCTTCAGCGCTCAGCTTTCTTTTTGGTCCAACTCTCACATCCTTATATGACTACTGGAACTAACTGCTCTGAACTCGGACCCAAATCTAGATATGCAGTTATAGATGCAGTTTCCTCTCAATACTCAAGAGATTTAGCAGTTAAGACAATACTCTAAATAACTATTTTTCAAGATGTTTGCATATTTTCCAGAATCTGATAGACAATTAACCTCTCATAGTAAATCCCAGTTAGTAAAAAGCTGTTTACATAGATTACAACTTGGAAAATAACATTTAAGCAATATTATTTATTTAGACTTAGACATTTACCCTAGAAAATGGATAGAAAATTCTTCATGGAATTCTTGAGATGGTACTTTATGATACTCTGTTTTTACCCCTTGAAAATTATTATATTTATTGCAAACTAAACATTCTCTTTGTTGCTATTAGTATTTCTTGTGGTCAGTAGAGGGAGCACAAGTTTTCTAACAAACCATCACAAAACTGAAGTGACATCATCAGTGATGGTATAGAGGGGAACAATCTAGGCTAGTTCATATTGGTTCATGTTCCAGGGTCTGTGAGAAAAATTAAAATTTATTAAGTAGAAAGTCAAGAATTGTAGAGATTAACCATAATATCAGATTTAGAGATCATATTTTAAGTTAAGAGATTAGTAACAAAAACCAACATAATTCCTTTAAAACTTAAAAATGTACATTGTGATGCACAGATTGGTTAATGATTAATTTTACCGGAGGTTTTGTTTCTCTTTTGTTTACTTTATTTCTTTATAATTTGTAGAGGTCACTTTAGGGTGTCTGGAATAGTTACATGTGCCATGCACTAAAATTTGGTATAGCAAAAGAGGTGTAGTGATTTCTCTATGGGTCAGTTATGTTTTTGTATTGTTTAACAAGGGCTAGAAATTTTTTTCTCAAAGCTGCATCCTGAAGACTGATTGCATTGCAATTAGTCAATAGTTAAGAACATATATTTAAGGGGGGAAAAAAATCTTACACCAAAAACTCTTAAGAATGTAGCTGGTAGTTCCAGTGGAATGTGTACATGTTTTGTGAGCATTTTATGGAACATGGAAGATGATCGTTGTCTGTCCTTGTCAGAAATGTATTATGATGTATGAGTGGTACTGTTTAAATTACAAACAAACTCAGGCACCATGGATGCTTATTTATGATACTGTGTTAGCGTTAAGTAAAAGAAAACCAGGACACTTTAATCCCTCTCTCTAGGGTCTTATAGCTATCACTAAGCATTTTTGTAACAGTTTTATGTTATTTTTTAAAAACTGAAACAGCTCTTTAAATAAGACCAGTGGAAATAGGTTCATTTTATAAAGAAGTTAATTGAGATGTATTGAGATTTAGTGAGCTATTCAAGATTATATAATACATTAGCATAGTCAACAAAACCAGAAAATGGAGCTTTTGACTCCTGGTTCAAGGAGTTACAAGGAGTTCTTACAGCTGTAGTCTAGGATAATTCGAAAACATAGGACAATTATTTAAATCCCCGATCCTTTGTTAAGTGCCTGTTTTGTGTACAGCATTGGGTTATTTTGTTTGATTAAAAATTGAGAAACATAACCATCCATGAAACTATATTGTGTAGTAGTAGTACAAACAGTAGATGAAGTGTGTTTCAAACAAAAAATGTTTATATTCTCTTAAAGCTAAAGGTACTTTTTAGGGCTAATAGAAAACCCCTCTGTACTGATTTATTGTTATGAGAGAATTTGGAGGAAATAGCCAAGGTGGGGCGGGGGTGTTGTTTACAGGTGAAGAGAATGGCTCTGAGATTGAGGAACTATAATTCTTAGGGGAGGTGATATTTCACATCTGCTTAAATAGGATTACTGAGGCAGTCCGGTTGAACTGAATACTATAGTTAAGAGGGAATGCAAAATTGCGTGATCAGAGAGCTGGCTGAGACCTTGAAGACTATCTGCCCTTGCATTAATTTTATGGCTAAGGAAACTGAGACCTGGAGTGATTCTGAGTTATTTGCCCAAGGTTAGTCACACAGGTAGATGGGGGCAGAACTGGAATTAGTTTTTCTCCAAATGCCTGGATGTGATAACAGAACCGGGAAGGTAGCAAATTATGGAAATACGTTGGATGTGCAGAGTTGAGTATATTTTTGCACAACAGTTATTTCCATCAGTCTTTAAAAGAGGAAAAAGAGAAATGTTGGTTTGTTTTGGAAATAGAAGAATGTAGTGATCCATGGAACAGTTCAAAAACTAGGATGAGCTGCCTGGTGGCAAATATGAAAATGACCTTGCCAACAACTTCTAGGACATTTTTACTAATAATAGTAATAAAAATAATAAAACATATAACAAACAGCAACAGCTATCATTTATTGAACGTTTACCTATGGCATCATGTTGAATATCTTATGTACATTACTTCATTAAATTATTGCATCCTGTGACCTAAGTATTACTATGCCATTTTGTAAATTAGAAGCTAAATCTCAAAGAGATTAAGTTATTCCCCTTGTCACACTGGTAGTCAGCTATGGAATAAAAATTTGAATTCTCATTCAGTTTGAATTCCAAGCCAGTGTTTCTGAAGCTTGACTAATGAATAAACCCTTCTTCTAAAGGAAAATAATCTGCTCCATGCCCCAAATAGACTTATTTTGATTAGTAGGCTACTTAACTAAGCATAAACACAAATTCCTTAAGCTTATAGCTTTTATATAATTTTTAAAAACTACAAAACTTACAAATTAAATTCAAGCAAATGTATAAGATCAATAAAATTCAAACTAATGACATTAATTTAATATGAAAGATGAAGTTTCTGCTGTAATGAAAATACCAATTGCAAGATGAATTTGCGGCTAACTGCTACTGCACAGTTACTCTGAGTTTAGTGGGCCAGTACTGCCACGTGCTTTGTGAGAACTTGATTCTGCTGCTGCTTTATTCTGTCTTCTTCAGACTGTCCCTTCAGACTCTGTAGTACTCTGTAATAGTATCATTTGCCCTTCACTTGATGCCACCGGTTATTTATTGTTAATCCTACTTCTGTTTTCATTGCTATGCCAGAGTACTACTGCTAATTTGGTGGTTTGGAATGCTGAAATGTCATAGCAGTAAATATTTAATTATAAGTTGTGGTCATCAGGTGATCTAAAATATGTTCATTTTTTTCAGTCTATCATCTAGAAGAAACCCCCAAATTTAAGAAATTCACAGTGTCTACAAATCAAAACCAGGTCTCTAGTGTTTCTACTTACAGAAAAAAATTGCACTGCACTTTCCCTCAAAACTCAAAACTATCTGGTTACTGTGGGGTCATAGTGGAGACCCAGGAAAGCCTCCATCTCCATCTACTTTCAATGCTGCCTTAGTTCAGACTACCACTGTTTTGCATCCAAGTTTCTGCCACAACCCCTAGTTTTACCCCCACCAAACTGTTCTCTACAGTGTAAACCACAGTACTGAGTTTTCTGTAATACAGATTTAGAACTTAGCTGGGGTATCACTTCCTTCTGAAAACTTTCCCCTCTTGTTTCTTCTTATCACCTGTTTCCTCACCCCATTCATGATCACCTTCACGATCCTCTTCTGTAGATTCAATTAGTTATTTTTCCTTTGTTCTTCCTTCATAACTCCATAACACCCTAGGTCTACCTTTATTATAATCCTTGGTAGCACACTGTGTTGAATCCCTAATTTGGGGGGGTCTCCCCAGGTAGGCTGTTAGGTTCTTGAAAGTAAAGCATACCTCCTGCATCTTCTAGGTGGCACATTGTGTGTGTGTGAAAGGGAAGAAGATCCTGCTGATACAGCTGTGATCATGAATCACAGGTCAGTTTTAATTTTAGGAGTGAGGAGTCAAAAATTGGCAAGAACAAAATAGACATTTCCTTATCTTTCCTATTCATGTATGTGAAATTTATACACATTACCTAAGCAGTTAATATAATAGACTCTTTTAGTGTGTAGTCACCAGAATTTTGGAAGTACTCTTTCCATAAGGAATTAGATAATAGCATCATTTCGCTATGTCTGTTTTCACTGGGTTAGGTGCTGTCATTGTCTCCACGCCTCAGGACATTGCATTGATGGATGCACACAAGGGGGCTGAGATGTTTCGAAAAGTCCACGTGCCTGTAAGTATTTACACCTTCACTGTTGGAAAAATAAGAAGTGCTTCTAACTGAAAAAGCAGACCATTGAGAAACACAATCCAAAATTTAATTTAGCTCTGGGTGGAAATCTGTATGAACACCCTACTTCAATTTTGTTGTTGTTTAGTCGCTAAGCCATGTCCAACTCTTATACGACCCCATGGGTTGTAGCCACCAGGCTCCTCTGTCCATAGGCTTTCCTAGGCAAGAATACTGGAGTGAGTTGCCATTTCCTTCTCCAGGGGATTTTCCTGACTCAAGGATTGAACCCACATCTCCTGCATTGGCAGGCAGATTCTCTACCACTGAGCCACCAGGGTAGTCCGTAATTCATTTTAATTGTTACTTTAAAACCACACATATAGGTGGAAACAGGAATGCACATTATGTTAATCAAAGAAAATGCTGAAATATCCTTCAGGTATGAGTTTTCTGAACAATTATTCCCTCTCTCAACTATTTGTAGCTGTCACTGACTTAAAAAAACATAATGAGAATTTTGGGAAATTATTTAGGTAGATGACTTTTGTCCTTCTGTCTTCTACAGTTTATCTCATTTATAGCTCACCATCTTCTTGAAAGTAAGAATTTGCTATACAAAGTGGCAAAAAATAAAAATATTATAAAAAGGAGAGAAAGGACAATTAAAATCAGATGTAGTCAGAAATGAAGTCTGTAAATAACTTGCATGCTCTTAAGGGACTTAGATGTGTGCTAGAAGTATGCCATGTATTTTCAAGCAGTCACAGGGAAAGAAACATAGGGCCATTATAAGACTGTCCATTTCTGTGAGGTTAAATAAAAGAGCTTGAGCACTATTGATAATAGCCAGGACATGGAAACAGCCTAAATGTCCACTGACAGATGAATGGATAAAGAAGATTACTATTCCTCAGCCATCAGGAAAGAATGAAATAGTGCCATTTGCAGTAACATGGATGGACCTAGAGATTATCATACTGAACAAAGTAACTCAGAAAGAGAAAGATAAATACCATATGATATTACTCATATATGGAATCTAAAGTGCTATACAAATCAATTTATCTATAAAACAAAAACAGACTCACAGACATAGAGAACAGACGTGTGGTTGCCAAGGGGATGGGGGAATAGGGAAGGAAAGGAACAGGAGTTTGGGATTAGTAGATAACATCTATACATAATTATATATAACTGAGTCACTTGGCTGTGCAGAAGAAATTTACACAAACTTGGAAGTCAGCTATACTTCAGTAAATTTTTTAAAAAAGAGCTTGATGCTCAAAAGAAGCAGAACTGAGAGGCGAGGCATTACTCTTTCCTAGATCCTCAAGAATGTTAATAAAAGAAACCCTGTAGGTAATGAACACATTTTTGTCACCTTTGTAACCATAAATAGAGGGTTCTTCCTCCTAGTGTGCCTCATCAAAAGTAAGTGGACTTGTGCCAAAGTGTAGTTTAGAACAAGTGTTTCTGTATGAAGCCAACATGATACTTCCATCTCTGTGGCTCCTAATGGCTTTGTATAATTCTTGGTTAGATTTTAGAGCTTGTAAAGCAGAACTGTTTGTTTTGCATTATGGTTTATTACAGGGTATTTAATTTAGTTCCCTGTGCTGCACAGTAGGACCTTGTAGTTTATCCATTCTATATATAATAGTTTGCATCTGCTAATCCCAAACTCCCAATCCAACCCCCTGACCCCAACAACCACAAGTCTGTTCTGTTTGTGAATCTGTTTCTTTTTCACATGTAAGTTTATTTGTGTCATATTTTAGATTCCACATACAAGTGACATTGTATGGCATTCAACTCTCTTTCTGACTTACTTTGCTTAGTGTGATAATCTCTAAGTCCGTCCATGTAGCTACAAATGGCATTGTTTCATCCTTTTTGATGGCTGAGTACTATTTCACTGTATATGTATGTACACATACCACATCTTTATCCATTTCTCTATTGGTGGACTGGATATTTAGGTTGCTTCCATGCCTTAGCTATTGGAAATAATGCTTCTGTGAACATCAGGGGGCATGTATCTTTTTTATTTACTTTTGTCTGGATGTATGGCCAGGAGTAGGATTGCTAGATTATACAATAGCTCTGTTTTTTGGTTTCTGAAGAACCTTCTCTTGGCAAGAACCTTCTTGCCACTATTCTCCATAGTGACTGCACCAATTTACATTCCCACCAACAGTGCAAGAGAGTTCCCTTTTTTCCATGCTCTCGCCAGCATTTGCTGTTTGTGGATTTTTTACTAATGACCTTTCTCGTTGCAGTTTTGATTTGCATTTCTCTAATAATTGGTGATTTGAGTATCATTTGTATGTCTTCTTTGAATAAATGTCTATTTAGGTCTTCTGCCCGTTTTTTGATTGGGTTGTTTTGGTTTTTTTGTTATTGAGTTGTATGAGCTGTTTGTATATTTTGGAAATTAAGCCCTTATCAGTTGCATCATTTGCAGATATTTTCTCCCAGTCCATAGGTTGTCTTTTCATTTTGTTATGGTTTCCTTTGTTGTACAAAAGCTTATAAATTTGAAGGTTAGCTTGGACAAATTTTAAAGCAATAGTAACCAAATACCTGCTTCAGATAGAAAACTGTCTCGATAAAGCACTTAGTTGAACAACTTTATTTCCTATTATGCCCTCCAAGATAAACTAGATGCAAGTAATGCCTACTCAGATAACTAATAAGAATACTTATATGAGATTTTAAGTATAAATCAGCAAAAAGTTAGATAGTTATCCACCCAAAATTATGGGAACAAGTAATTCATAATCTGTCTTTCTGGCAGGAATTAGATAACTGAACCAATGATCTGTTACTGCCACTTCAAGGTCAGGATAATAACCATTCTATCAACACATAAGTGAATGCTTAAGTTCTAGTTCTGTAAGATGAGTGCAGAGGCGAGTGTCCAGCTCACTCAAAAGGAGCATGAAATCCTTGAGAGAAAAGTTTTTAAAAGAGAGGAAGCCAGAATTTTGTTAGGTGGGTGTCACTGAAGGATAAAAGTTGAGCTGTCAACCAGAAAGTATTGTGAGGAAGTACTGGGCTGCATAAGGATTGTGGGATTAGGGCAGGATTAGTTATGGGAAAAAGGAACTGTTTGGGAAGTGAAAGTGAATGTTGGAATATAAATTTGCAGAGTCAGAGCAGTCCTGGGTCATGACACAGCACAGGATGTGGTTGGTCATGGGTGTGGGACTGAAGAGGAGTGGAAATGAAAGTCATTGGAAATGCATGATCCCTCCATTATTTTTTGACATTGTCTGTTGTCTTTATTATAGCCCTCATTCTTTACCCATTTTAATTATTTGCCTTCTAAACTGCAAAAAATTTGAAAAAGCAGTAGAATGTCATAGTCAGCTCTTAACCTGCAAAGCAAGACAGGTGCTCAGTCATCTTTGCAAGTAAATGAGTGAAAACTTCCCAGCAGAGAGCTCTGTAAGCAGTTGGAGGACAGCCATGGTAGCTGCCTTGTGAAGGGAATCCTGGCTTTGAGCAAGATGTGGATTTGATGACCTCTGAGATCCTTCTGGCACTTAAGAGCCTTGCAGTCTGAGTAATGGTAAAGCATTTGAAATTAGGAAGTGTTCCATAAATGCAAAGGAGAAATGTTATGCTTTGTTTATACCACTTCATTTCATTTTTTTCTTGGTTTTTAGTCTTGTTCTCTTTTTTCCCCCGTTTGAAGTGCATTAGTTACCATGGAAACAGTGATGTCATTGGAATTCATTGGTATGGTCAGAGTTTATTAATGTCTACAAAAACGTTTTGAAATTAATTTAAATAATTAAAACTCAAGGCTCCTTAGGGGAAGGAGAAGAAGAACTATTAAATTCTGTTCTCTGCCTGAAATGATACCAACCTTGCCAAATTCTTGATTATGTTAGTATTTGTAGATAGACAGTTTTAAAAAATAATAATTTTTCAATCTTACACATTTTTTTTTTCAATCTTACACATTTTTAATGATGACTATGTACTGTGTCATTCTCATCCATTTTTGTTCCTTTTGTAAGGAAAGCCCTTATAAATGTTAAAAAGCAGAAACATTACTTTGCCAACAAAGGTCCGTCTAGTCAAGGCTATGGTTTTTCCAGTAGTCATATATGGATGTGAGAATTGGACTATAAAGAAAGCTGAGCGGCGAAGAATTGATGCTTTTGAACTGTGGTGTTGGAGAAGACTCTTGAGAGTCCCTTGGACAGCAAGGAAATCCAACCAGTCCATCCTAAAGGAAATTAGTCCTGAATGTTCATTGGAAGGACTGATGTTGAAGCTGAAACTCCAGTACGTTGGCCACCTGATACAAAGAACTGACTCACTGGAAAAGACTCTGATGCTGGGAAGGACTGAAGACAGGAAGAGAAGGGGACAACAGAGGATGAGGTGGTTGGATGGCATCACCCACTCAATGGACATGAGTTTGAGTAAACTCTGGGAGTTGATGATGGACAGGGAGGCCTGGTGTGCTGCAGTTCATGGAGTTGCAGAGTTGGACACAACTGAGCGACTGAACTGACTGATAAGGAAGGCCCAGATACCTCAATTTAGAGCCCTTCCCCTACTGTTTGAACTGTAAAGTCACAGGGATTTCACTACCCAGCCCTTTCTTCTTAGGTAATCTTTCCAGATGCTGAAAAGTGTTTTAAAGTATGTCATTGTTTAGTCGCTAAGTCATATCCGACTCTGTGCGATCCTATGGGCTGTAGCCTGCCAGGCTCCTCTTTCCACGGAATTCTCTAGGCAAGAATGCTGGAGTGGGTTGCCATAACCTTCCCCAGGGGATCTTCCCGACCCAGGGACTGAACCCGTGTCTCCTATACTGGCAGGTGGATTCTTCACCCCCGAGCCACCAGGGAAGCCCATATTAAAGTATTTTTCCTCTCTTATTCTTTCTACATATAAAGGGTCACTTAGTAATTTTAATTCAACAAATACTTCTGTTTATTTATTCTATAAATATATATTTACTTACATTGAGTGCCTTC